AGAGAGAGAGAGAGAGAGAGAGCAAAATGCAAAAGCAGGAGGTAAACAATAGAGAAAACGCCAAAGGCGAAAGTCCGGATTGAAAAGTTTATTATGCAGGTTGTGTCTTAATCTTAGACGCTAATCTGTCAACCGTAAATTGTTGACTAGATGACAGGAGCTAGATGACATAGAAGGCGTGTATATATCTTTGTTTGTGTCTCTTGTACTGGAACCACTCAAACACAGTGGTATGGAGACCGCAAAAATCAACTGTGTATGTGCCGTCTGTGCATATGGATCAACACAAGCAAATGTGTTTTTACAAAACTGTTATGTGTTTGTGAGAGAGGATATTATGCTAAGGTTGAAAGTGTGTGTGTAAATGTGTGCGTGTGGGTGTGCGTGTGAGAATGTGTGTGTGTGTGTGTGTGTGTGTGTGTGTGTGTGTGTGTGTGTGTGTTCATGTGTGCGTTCTTAAGTGCCTTTCTTGTATTTGTATGTTATGCGTATTAAAGAGACAGCACTGAGGCAGAACAAGAGAACAAGATAGAGAGAGAGAGAACGAAAGAAAAAGAGAGGGTGAAAGATGGGGAGGGAGAAAGAGAGGAAGAGAAAGAGAAAGAGAGAGAGACAGAGAGAGAGAGAGAGAGAGAGAGAGAGAGAGAGAGAGAAAGAGAGAGAGAAAGAACAGCCTTCCTTTATCGTTCTCTTAACGTAGCAAATCGTAAGATAGCAGTTGGTGTTTTTAATCAGTTACTCAAAAGGGGAGTTATGTTACTCATATGTGTTGACATGCACAGTGATTAGAGAATTTTGAGCAATTCCCTGACTACCCTCAGCTCACCACTCACCCTAAGGAGAACTCATGATGAAACAGGAAAGTGCCTGAAAACTGAGAAAGGTGGATAACTACTTTTTTTGTGCACACTGACCATGCAATGCTTGGGGTTTAAAAAATAAATGCTAGCATCTAAAACCAAAAAAGAGAGCTAATAATATAATAATAATGTACAAACCCGAACGGAATCGCCTCAGCTTGAACAATTATACTTCACACAACAAAACAGTTTCCAAAGGACCAAGGTTCTTTATATTCCACGAAGTGACACAGACTAGTCTTCGGAATTGCTTTCACGATCTTTTTCTTTCTCGACAAAGAACGAAAGGCACCCAATCCTGTAGAGGGCGCGAGTGTGTACGTGTGTGTGCGTGTGTGAGTGGAAGCGTCTCTCAGGCTCTTGTATCGACGAGCTATCGACCCATGGCTGGCTGCTGTCGCCGAGCCAACACAAAGACGGCACCGACTCCCTCTCCTCTCTCGTTTCGCTACCACGCGCACACTTGCCGCTTGTCCTCCGCTTAGCGCCGATGCGGCCGACTTTGGAAAGCTGTTGTAGTAGCTAGTTCTGTGCGTTTTCCAGGAAACAAAATTTGAACAACGTTTCGAAGCGTGAGTTCAGTAAGTTTTATTCGAATACACAGTGTAGTCCATTAGGAATCTAGCAGCGTTCGCTATTCAACATTCACAATTCACATTGCTATTCCCTGAGCGTTTGATGGCACGCACGCACTGCAAAACGAATTGAAAAACCCCCCTTTAAAATACCCAAACCCAAACGCTTTATCCATCTTTTTATGTGTGTGTTTTCACAACTCCACCACACAATTTAGACCTAGATCATAGATCATTTGGAAGGCTGCCTTCCGACCCTACTGTTTATTTTTTTTCAGTCACCTGCTGCCCTTCGAGAGGAAAGGCCCCATCAGTTATTCATACTGTGACGGGTAAATAGTGAAAAGTAGCGGATACTTCTGATAATCTTAGAAGCACGTTTAATCACTCTTGCTGGAACCACTGAACATTCTGCCTTGTAATCATCGAGTACAAATTATTATTGTTGTATTTCCTATGTATTTAGATATGATATAGTGCTTTAATTCTAACGACGGGTTGAGAAAAATCAAACGAAAATCAATTATCACACTGCATTCTACCCCGCCTCAAATAGCCTAGCGCTAGGTGGAGCGTGGAAAAAATCAAGAATGTCGAGTAGGGCAGCGCTGGGGAACAGCGACTGTTGATGTACTGAACTAATTTTATTGAACCTGTCTTCACCGATTTGTCCGTGGAGCATTTAGCATCGGATATAGTTATATACCGAGAGGTAATTAGAAATAGAGAAAAAAAAAGAAAAAGAAAACTGAATCAAATAAATGAATAAACGTGTTATACATGTATATAAAAGTCTTTCAATTCCACGTCTGACTTTTAGATCCAGATACAAGCCTTAGGGACACTTCGTCGTAGTCTGTGTATTACAGAATATGACAAAGCTTCCACTCAGGAGTGGAGACACATTTCACGATAATTATACTAGATCTAAATCAAGGATATCCTAATTAACTGTTACAATATATATTGACTTTGGATTCTGGGATACAAAAATCTCATGAAAAAGACTCACCCACGAACGCTCCATGCATCATCTGAAACCGATGACTCAAATGGGCTGACAATTTACCCCGCCCAAAACTCTTTAGATTCAGAGAACGGGGGGCTCTCGTGATCAAGAACTTTCGGTGTTTCCCTCTCATTGAATAGATCAAATTGTGTTCAAGAAACGGGATCTAAATCTTCTTTTTAAAATATGCCTGGAGGGCTACAAGGATGTCACATACACATACAAACACCCACATGCTCTCTCTCTCTCTCTCTCTCTCTCTCTCTCTCTCTCTCTCTCTCTCTCTCTCTCTTCCTGTCTGTCTCTCTGTCTCTCTCTATCTCTCTCTCTTTCTATCTCTCACACACACACACACACACACACACACACACACACACACACACACACACACACACACACACACGCACACACACACACATACCCCCCCCCCCCACTCACACATTTACACACACTGTGAACATAGGAAAAAGAGATGAAAAGTGAGTAATTGCCAGACGAAGACATCGATGTTTATGTACTCTAAGGTATCGAATAAAAAAAAGGGGGTGGGGGTGGACAAGTGGTCAAACATTAATAAGCGGTGGGGAGGGGGGATTATGGAATAAAAAAAGGGGAGGGGAGGGGTTGTGCATTCAACCTCATACCACTGTACTAGTAGGAACAAATCTGTTTTATATCACCTTTAGTAAATAAAAGAACAAATGAACATGGAATTTTAGTAATTTTAGTAAGCTATTGTGTCAACTTTTCCCATTTAGGAAACAACAAGTTTCATAAAAAATTAGAAATGCACAGAAAATTGAGGTAGCCAACCTAGTAACGGTACTGATACTGAGGGTAATTTGTTATTTACAACAACAAAAAACGTTTCGTTCAGAGCAAAGAAATAGTAATACATAACGTAGTCAGTTCATTCACAAAAATCGGAAGGATACCTCAAATTCACAAAGTTCCCGAAAACAATATTTTTCACTAATTTGGTGTTTTGACCCTTGAGTTTTTTCTCTTGATCTATTATGAATCGAAGTTTGGCTTGATTTTGCTCCATTTTCATATTAAGATGCAATTAGGACATGGTTTAAATCTATAAAATAGATACAGTTTTGAATCTTTATCTTGGAAACCAGCTCCCTTCTGCCATTCCTTTCGAACTGTGTAGTTTAGCCAGCTGGCGAAAACTCTGCAGCCAGTGGTGAGCGGGCCACGCCAAGAGTAGGCCTAGATCTAATACTACTAGGCTACTACGAATACTAGATCTAGTAAGCGGTCGGGCATCGTGATAAAGTAGGTTGTCGATTCAGGCGACTTCAGGGCTATGCGACAGAAACCTAGGTCTAGAATCTATATCTAGATCTAGATCTAGATATCTCTTTTCTAGATATAATGTTCCACATGATCTTTGGTCGTGGAGAGGTGGAACATGATAAACGGTTTGGGAGTGGAGGGGAGGGTATGGAATACGAATCTGAGGGGGGTGGGTGCAAAGAAAAACTCCTGAAAATGGATAAGTGGGGAGCGGGTGACTGCACTATAGATTTTTCTTTTGCGTCTGATTATGGCAAAGAATATAAACTTGCCCAAAAAAGTCAAGGAACAGCTTGTGTTTTCACCTGTCAAATTTAAACTTCAATATCTCACAAACTCGTTAAGATCAGTCAACCACACTTGGCACAAGCACTGTCGACTTGACACAGTTTGCCTGTAAAGCAAATTTGCCAGCACCAGCTTCACAGGCGCCCAAGGCACACGCTGCCCCACACAGCAGCTGGTCGGGCGTGGTCTGCTCACCATTGACAGTGGACACAATGTCAGTGGGACCAGGTAGTCTTCTCGGACGAATCCAGTTATTCAACCTGCTGCACCCAGACAGGGGATCCCACGTCTGGAGGCACCGAGGACAGCTGTTCCACCCTGAGTGCATCCTACGGTGGAGGGCCCGTTCTGGTGTGGGGAGGCTTCTCAGCTCACCACAAGACCCCCTGTACAATATACAGGGCAATTTCACCGCGGCAAGGTACAGAAAGGAAATCCTGCGTCCCCCTTGCTGTTCCTCTCCTGCAACAGATTGGACCCCAGGCTGTACTGCAGGACGACAACGCCACGCCACATCGCGCACGCATCGTTGGAGACTTCCTGCAGCGGCGAGCTGTCACCCACATGGACTGACCAGCTTGTAGTCCGGATTTGAACCTAATAAAGAACATTTGGGATCCCATTGACCGGTGGATAAGAGACAACCACCCTCCTGCACAAAACCTTAAGCAACTCTTGGCTACCTCGTCCAGGAGGGGCAGAACCTACTGCAACAAGTCCTCCGAAGGCATGTCCTGTCCATACGTCGACGCTGTGCCGAGTGTTTGATCAAACGGGGTGGCTACACCCACTATTGACCATGATCATGAAGAACTATGGCTGTTCAGACTTTTGAAATCCGCCCAGTGTGACTTAAAACTCATTTTACATGAACTTCTCGTTTTTGTTGAAATCTGAAATTGTACACACTTAATCTAACGAGTCGAAAGCAACTTTTTGGAAAAAATGAATAAATTTTGTTAAACTGTTCTTCAGTTATCTTTCTTTGAATTTTTGTTCCTTGACTTTTTTGTGCGATTGAGAATAGTGTGAACGTACACCAACGTTTACTGAAATTGTTTTGTAAGTGTTTTTACAGCGCTCGCAACCTCCTTTCCTGTTCTGTAGACATTTTCTGTCACCTGCTGTCATCTCCACTTTCTTACCTCCCCTACCACGTGCCCCCAAACACCCCCGGCCTTCGGGCTCCTCTCTCTTTTTACTCCTGACTCTTTCTACTTGTACTGCTCCTGTTGGCTCCTTCTTTTCTGCTGTCTTTACTTTCAATCATATCTTAGAGTAGGTAAGATCGAACACCTAGCCTTCTCAGATAAGAGCAAAACAATCTCGGAGTTCTCATGTGCAAGTTGTGCACGAGAACGATCCCTTGGTGGCCCTAATATCAATAAGAGTTGGCTTCGGTCGTCATTCGGGCAAATGTCAAAGTTCATTCCTACCAAAACTGAAAATACTCCAGTCAATATAAAAACATGTAGAGTACCTTCGAAATCAGACTTCGGCTGTCTGAAGGCTAGGGGTCCTACCAAGTAGTAAAACCGTCCACATACTTAAAAATCAGTTGCAATGCAGGTTGAAGAACCAGGAGTCGACTACCCCTAAGATCAAGCAGGGGAACAGAAAGAAGAAGAAAAAGGCCCACACAAACCTCCTTTCAGATGTGAACACTATGAGTCACGCTCCTGTAACTGAGAAAGGTGTCATGCATTTTAATTCCTTTCTTTACTTTTCAAATCACAAAGTAATTCGCTGCATCATTAAAAAGTATAACACAAGTTCGCCGTTCGCCCTATCTCTTAATGATTTAATTTTCCTCAAACATTCGTGGGACCTGTACCTTTTTTAAAACGTTTATTAAGGGTTTGTTTTTTTTGGTAAGTGTTTTACGGCACTAGAAACTGCATAAGATCATATGATCGCGCCGGACACATTAAACATTTTAGTTTAGTAGGAATTAATACAAAATTTTGCTCGGGTGGCGGCTGAAGCATACTCTTATTGGTTTTGGACCACAAAGGGATCTTTAACGTGCGCAGATTGTTCTCGAGATCTCCGAGATATTTCGCCTTTATCCGAGAAGACTAGGTGTTATTGTTACAACTTGTCGACCTCATTACACTGAATCTAAGGGGTAAATCTCTCTGGGTTTTTTTTTAGCATGCGCCTATGAATACTAAAATTTAAAGACCTAAGAAATCTCGATTGTCGTGCGTATGTGACGAAAATAAAGAGGTGCTGTCTATATAATCATTAGTAATAAGTTGCTCATTAATCTCAATACCGCACACTTTTTATAGCAAGCATGGTACTATGTTAAAACAAAAACCATACAGGGTGTCGTTGCACGGGCTAAGCCAAACATTTCAAGGGGGGGGGGGGGATACAGTTTGGTCAAACCCGAAAATGGTGGTTAACAGAGTGCTATATTTGAGGCGCAAATGGGCATGTCACTCCCCCCCCCCCCTTGCGTGCTGGTACCCTCCCTTTTACACATACATGTCTTGTCCTTTTCTCGGGATTTGTTATAGATTAAAGGAGAGGGCTTCAATCAGCTTCTTTGGAGAAATAGTTCAGTTGTTTTAAGGCAACGTTTTTTGGATTTGTAAATTAAGTAATCTAACCATGGTGATAAATGAAAAAGCGACAGCAAATTGAAACGTATGCGATCTCAATGACGGAAGATATGAAAGAAATTCTACTCATTGTATATCACAATGAATCAATAAAAATAAACCCTCTGTCACTCACTAACCACTGGACAGAAAACAACTCAGTCTTGCGGCGCATGCAGTCATTAAAGAAAAAAGAAAATAGATTGAAAAAAACACACACACAAAACTAACACTTAATTGCCGTTCTTGGTGTAATTAAAAATCCCTGCGGAGACTGTAATTAAATGCTAATGATTATATAGAAAACACCTGTTTATATTTGTCGCATATGCAGGAAAATCGAAATTTTCAAGTTTAAAAAAAATAATTCAGAAGCACATACAAAAAATCAGGACAATTCTTAGTTTATGTGTTATGAGGTCGACAAGTCTTTCCTTTCTGCCCCCTCCACCCCCCTCCTTTTGTTTCTCCCCTTTCAGTGAGCTCCTGACTCTTACCTACCATAAGATCAGGGGTATAGCTGAAAGACAGCAGTAAGAAGGAGC